TTTGGTATCTGAGAAATATACGCTGCTCAGTATGGTTTGAAAAACAGAAGTGAGAACACGCTGTTCCCACGGCACGTTATAGGAATAATAGAAATAATGAGAGTTCCATATGCTGTGATAATTTTAATGAACTTGATTTTATTGCACAACTGAAACAGTCGATACACATCCAAGCATGCATATGATTATTCCTTCTCTATTGTCACATAGCTGCAATGCCAAGCTAATACTGACTGATTCCATAGAGATTGAGAGCCTTCTGAGTTTATTCCATACAGTGAGATTATTTATTTAATTGAAAATAAAAAGGAGTGTCTATGTTTACTGGGGATACAGATGTGTGCAAAACTCACATAAGATGCCTGTAAAATGATAATAGCATGTAAATGATGAAACATTTACTGATTTGAAAATTGTTAGGAAGAAATTAATAACAGACTTTTATTTGATTGAAAATGACCTACTTCTCAATCACTCTAATTATAGGCACAAATAAGTCCTATGACATCTATCTTAGAACTGAAGCTCTGAGAGGCCTACAATTATCCCTTATAATTAACAGGGCTCCATGATAATGTATGTCTATTTTGTAATTTGTAAATATTCTTTGTAAGAATATTTGCATTGCTTCATGCAATAATAGCATGCATTTCCTCTGTCATGAGCTGACCTTTGCCTCCCATGTCGACTGCTGAAACTAGAACCTGTCAAACTCCATGTACCTAATGAGATTTGAATTGGTGCTTTACTAAAGGTTGGTGCATTGGAAAGGTCACCCGCATAAGTGAATAGGCCCAAACACATGGACAGTTCTGGCATCAGTTGTAAGATAAATACAGTATACAGCACATACTTTATGTTGTTTCTGCAGGTGCCTTATTAGAGTTGGTTGACTGGGCAACTTCCAGTCAAATTGTGCCAAACATTTAAATTCTAGTTGTATAATTTATATGGAATGGATTGAGATGTAACCAAAAACTGTAAAAAGTGCTTGAGGTCAAAATTTTTCAACACCACGCTCACACATCCAGAACCTACATATTCACTTACACGCACCTGATAACTGTAGCTGCATTTGATGTATGTCAACAGGATGAATTTTGCACAGACAGGAGAAAAGGAGAAACTCACTTCTCCAACAATTAGGACTTAGGGAATAGTACATTTGGGTGCCAACAGAAAATACAAAAACATAAGAAACTTTGGATCTCATGTGCATCATCTCCTATTTACTTGCTTAGATGATTTTCTTGATGACAGATGACAATTAGAGAGGATGTTCCAGAACCGTGGTTTCTGACTGTTGGTTGTGATATAGTCTGGGCCCAGTGGGACTCCACTGTTGTGTTCTGCTTAATAATCCAAATCCTCTAAGTCCCCCTCGGCCCACTTCAGTCCTTTGATTGCTCCTTGTATTTTTATTACGTTATACTCCATTTTCATAATCTGGTGCACAGCACTCATGGTGTGTACTGGAGAGAAAGAAAAGACAGAGCCTAACAAGTGCTGCATACAGCTCTCCTAAAGTCATTCAGATTACAAGGGTCAGTCTCTAATCCATAAAGCTGGGTATGTGTGCTCCTAAATTGGAATAATAATTCTTTGAGAAACATTACGGTGTGATAAACTGGCGGTGGCAAGCTGTGTGCTTATGTTTATGCACATATGTCCGTGTGTGTGTGTGTGTGTGTGTTATTAGTGTGTAGCTACTAATGTAAATGTGGCTGAGCTAGCTTGTGCATCAGTCTACATTGCCACCTGGGAACATGTCCGTTGGTGACAGAGGACAGATATTCACTTTGCTTAGTCACCATGGATCATGCAACACAACCTTTTGAAGGAAGTAATTCATTCGGCGATAAGCACAACAAAAAGGGAGGAAAAAGAGCACTGTCAGCAGCCATCAAGATGGCAGAGTGTGATAGGCAAGTCTAGCTCCGTAATCAATCTGCACATGCACTTTATGCAAGGCCATGAAGTGCATTTTAAAGTCCATTGCTTGGGTGGAAGGAAATAAAGAAGGGAACAAGCTTGGACATTTTGGACCACTTAGATGAAAAATGCAATGAGATGATCATTAATGTCTCATAAACACTTTTAACAGTCAAAAAAAATAGTTCCCAGTTTTACTAAAGCCACAAAAAACTTAGTTTTTTTATTGTGTTTCGAGTAAAATTGGACTGAAGCCTCTATAGTTTAAGGGCAGTGAACATTATTGTTTAATAGCAACAAATGATTGGCTTTCAGTTTTCAACACCCAGGTGGAATTAGTAAAGTTTGTGCTAACCAAAGAGCACCAAAGTTCATTGGAGTGTGGGTTATTTGTGTATCCATAAAAGATAGTGATATTGTAAAGTTAACTATAATAAAGTTTTCTAGTTTTTTAGTATGTTGGAGAGTCCAGCAGCCTCTAGAAAAAGACAGAACAGATTTACTGTACCTGACCCCACCCAGAGGGTAAAATTCTGGGTCTGATTATCTTAATATTTAGCAAACTGCTCGTGAAACCTTTAAATGTGATAATTACAGTATTTCATACAGTATTAATGATAGTTGTGAAAGTGTGTGGAAAGTGATAGTTCCATGTGAAAAATTAATTTTATATTATTGTATTTCCAAATTGGGCACAACATGTTTGCAAAACAACAGCAGGACTGCTTGAAAAATGCAATGTTACTAGTAACTTGTTAACCTTAATATCCTGTTCTGCATCATCTGGATTGCATTATGTTTCCAAACAACAACATATTTATTGAAATAAAAATTAACAGGTTACGCTTGAAAAACTTTATAGGCAATTAGTTCAGTTTTTCATGTTAATGGAAAGCATATTGCACATGGGAAACATTAAAAAGTATTGGTAGGGTAAAGACATTATAATGACCTTAACATGTATTATTTTATATGATTTATGACACCACAATAATATTGTAAAATATTTCTGTATTATATTCATAGCTAAAGATGTTTCTCTGTCATTCCATATAGAATTTATTACTTGTCAATAAACCTCATGTGTTTTCAACACATATATATTAAGAATGCCCCTCCAATGCAACAATAACATGCAGTTCCATATATTCAGAAATTCTTTAACAGTAACAGAGATTAAATCATACAGTGCATAAATCAATCATGTTAAAGCACTGTGATGTGAATCTCATGTATTCTAAGGTGATGAAAATTAGCTACATTTATTCAAAGGCAAACCCATTGAATAGTAATATTGTATAGTTCTCCTACAGAGTCTGTCCCTGCCTGTCTGCCCATGATTTTGCATTTTTCCCCCAACAGCCTGATGCCAAGGGTAAGATATACATCTGTCTAATTTCTTGCTTGTCAGCCCACCATCTGGTGCCCCATCAACATTAAAGACAGGGAAAATGGTATCACATTGTCAATCACACACACACACACACACACACACTAGTGTAGAAGGCACAAGTTATGGAGGCCATAGGTAACATCTTACAAACAATTTGGTCAATTTTGTTTACTTTTCAGTGTGATGGTTTTTATCAGGTTCGGTATGACTAGAGTTGTGAAGCCCATTCTCAAGTGCCCAATTCAGTCTTGTGGGATTTTCTGCTCTCATTCAAAGCAATGTATATTTTAATACTTTTTTATATAATAATATATAATAATATTGTCTCTGCTGTTCCCCTCAGCTCTGTGGATCTTTATAGCTTCTTTCAGCTTATTGTTTTGGCTGTCTGGCCTGCAACTTTATTGTTTGGTTCACTTTCACCAACACTGTTTTCAGCCTCAGCAAGCAGCTGTTTTCAGTGCTTGCCTCCAGTTGCTATACTTCTGGGTAAACACAGTATATGTCTCATATGTCAGAGAGTGATAAAAGAAGTTGGTGAACATGAACTTGAGTCGCATCGTATACATTTTCTTCAGCAATGGTGTTTTTTTTTAACAATGAAGACAACAACTCCCCTGATACTTCACGACATCATCAAACTTGTTATTGTTTTGATGTGAGAGACCCCTTAGCACATCATGTACATTCGAAAGGTTGTATGTCAATGTTGTGAGTTTATTTCTGAAAACTTTGTGCTCAAAAAAAAGACCTAGAAAAAAACAGTGAGTTTTTAGTGAGATTCAGCTTATCTCTCCCTTAATCTCCTTTGCTTAGGACTGTCTCATTTGGCTTTTTGGAACCTTGTAAAAATACTATTGGGAACTACTGGAAGAGCTTAATGAGCAAAGGCAACTGAAAAGAGGAACGATTTCACTCCTTCCTTTCTTTTCAAAAGCAACCTCCTCAATGTCTCAAATGTGGAGGCTGTATATTTTAAAGCAGCCTCTTCACATCTGAATAGCGCCTTTATTTATTTTGACAGTGGTTCGGGTGGGCAACAACAACCACTCCTATAGTTTCAGTGCCATTGTTTGGAACAAGGACAGTTCAAGAAAAATGGCCATTAGTGTTTCTCCTTGAAAAAAGCCTTTTTAAACTCACTCCAAAAGAAATCCTCCCAACATGTTGGACATTTTACCAGTTGCTACACTAAAAACGCATTATATAAAGGTGTTTATAAAGGTGCCTTCTTTTGAGCATTGGGTCAATTAGTCCTCACATTATGGCTGGTTATGAAACCTGCTTCTTGTGTGAGAGCCTGTCTCAATGCATTATGTCCCTGGACAATCTTCCTTTGTCCGTGGGCCACAGAGTGTTAAATATACTAGTGTCAACTAATGGGGAAGTCTAAGTCAATCACACAAAAAAATTGCCTAATGACTTTTACATTATCCACTGACAGCAGTTGTGAACAGGTGTTAACGTCTTACTGCCAGCTGTTAATAGCTGGTGGGTCTTGTGATCCTTAACTTTGCACATGTTGTCTTTAAAGTGTTGTGTTGAGCACTGTAACTGAAATATATCAGAAAACAGTACTGAGAGAAAGTGTTTACTTCTACATGCTTCTACATAATGTGCATGCATTTGCTTGCTTCTCAATGCGTCTTTCATTTTAGTCTTAATTCTATTGCAGGTGACAGAGACACGGACGGGGCCACTGGGATGCAGTAGCTATGACAATCTGGACTCAGTTAGCTCAATCCTTCTGCAGAGCCCTGAGAGCAAGCTTCATCTACAAGGTAAACAAACCCAGAATATCATTATTTTCTAACTCCATGTTGGGCTCTAAAATATAAAGGCGATCCATTGTCACACATGAAATGCTCTTAGTCTGTGCCTCCTCAAAAATTGGAATGTCAGTGCATTTTTTAATTGGGACTGGGATAGATTTATTCTCCAAATCCCATCTGGGAATTGGGATGTGATTCTTATAGATGTCTGTGTTCCAACATGTTAAGTCGCTCTTCAAAAACAGGCCTACATTTAAAACAGTTGCACGGACTGTGCACACATGAGATCAGAAACTAGCAGTCTCCATGGTACAATATATAATTAGACAATTAGAACAGCTTGCAAAGGTATTGCTATACTTATCAATATTAGCACCAAACCCTAATTAATTTTAGTCAATCAGAATGAATCTCAAGAATGTATTCAAGATATGAACAAGTCACTTTTCATCAGGTGACCATATGTCACTCACGTCAGTGGATGAAAATGGCAACTTTTACTCATTAGTGGCTATGTTCTTTTAAGTGAAAACAGTTCTGCCTTAAACATTGAGACACCTAATAATTAGCCTAAGAGAAGGAATTGCATGCAGTGACAGCCACCCTGGGGTAAAAAGAGTGATGAAAGACCGTGTAACTGTGGTCAAGTGTTTGAATAGAGTGATTGGTTCTTTGATTTATTTGAGTTTACGCAGGTTATCAAAACCAGTTTGAGAATCACAGAAGCTTATTTCCAATCCAACCCACACTCCCTCCTTTTCCCTTTTAGAAAGGGATCATTACTCGTCCTCTAAAATCAGAGAACTAAGTGGTTTGTCAAAGAAACACTTTTAAGTCTTCCACTGCCACTTACTCAAAGGACTCTATAGGTTTTCAGAAAAGCTTTATTGTCATGCACCAATTGTGTTAGCCTTGCTCTTTGAAGACTGTTTTTTTTTTTACCCATTTGATAGATGACAAGCCTGGGAAAGATTTGTTCTTTTGGCTTGATAATATCCCCAAAAGAATGAGAAAGCTTTCCCGATTGGTCTCTAGCTTAGAGTTCTGTATTAGACCAAATTATATTGGTGTGTGTGTTTATGCATTTTGTGTGTGGGCGAAGGGTGAGGGGAGGTGTTGAGTGTTCTCCTGAAAATGCGTTCTTTTAAGAGCAATTATCATTTCTGCCTTTAATTAGAGAGACAGCTGATGGTGTAACTTCTTCAACAATCACAGTGCCCTTCTTAGTGCTCTTCAAAGTGATAGCACTTCACACAGCCCATGGAGAGGCATGTAGTCAATGGAGGGCTTTTAAGGTCTATGCTGCTCAAATATATTTATAATGATAATTTAATTCACCCTACAGTTTTCTTTCTGTCATGAAAACCAGTGTAAGTGTAACAATTTTGACATATTTTATACATTGGTAAACCATTCATTCCTTACAGATCAAGCCAGCCATGTGCATTTATAAAGACTTTGTCCCCTTACTCATATAAAACTGGCATAGGATAAACCTTTTCATTCAATTGGGTCACAGGCTCTGGTCTGCATTGAGTCTCATGGTGTTAGAATTAATGCTTCTGATTTTTTTCTGTAGTTCACAGTCAATTCAGTCAACTTCAAAGTCTGGGGACCAACAGGGGTCCTTGAGTGCATTGTAGGGGGTCCCCAGCAAAAAGAGGAATAGAATATTTGAACCGTCGAAATTGGGACAAGGGAAGAAATAGGGTTGGCCATTTTGATTGATTGTAATATATAATGATCGTAGTTTGATCATTGACTATGAAGACTATAATTTTCAAAACTAAAATTAATTTAAATAAATACTCTAAATACTAATAAAAATCCTCATAATTTAGGGATCCATGGTTTAATGCCCATCTATTGTAGGGGTCCTTGACATTAAAATGTTCTAGATGGGTTCTCTATTTTTGAAAGATATGCACTTATATTAAGATACATGAGGCTATGTTCCTACGCCATTTCCTCTCTGTCAACAAACACAACCAGATGGCAGAAACACAGAGATGGTCTGTACTTTGATATGTTTATCAGTGCTCCTAGCATCTAACAGCATTTGAAATCTCAAAATGACATTCAGTTCTTCAAAAATCTCAGTCATAAAACCTTGGTGGGTGGGTGTCAAATTATACATTGATTAACACATTATTTTATGAAGTGCTTAAGCATTTAATTATTGATACAAAATTATTTATACAAAATACATGAATAATTGAATATTTTTCCCAAAAAAGGATACATTTTCCTGAATAATTGTTGTTTCTGTGTTATTAAAATGTATTACCGTCAACAGCATGGCATGGCTAAATGTTTGGTTTAGTAAGGCATGGCTAGGTTGGTGCTAAGTGGCTGCCAGGGTGTTAGGAGCTACGTCTTATAGTTGTTGCAAGGTTGTTGCTGTGGTGTTTTAAACGTTTGTTTGGGCATAGCTAGGCTGTTGCTAGGGTGTTTGATGTGGTTATTTAGCCATAAGTTTCAGGTTTTGTGCCGCCACTAGGGCAGTATTATATATGTATGTGGTTCACTATGTACCATGTATGTGGTTGCTACAGTATATTGTCTCAGGCCACTTTAGTGCATTGTTAGGTGGTTGCTACGGCCTTCTCTCTGATTGCTGGGTTTCTGAGTTATTGTTATTGTAATTCTGAGTGTGTTTAAAAACGTGCTTTACTATATGTGTTTAAATGTTTTTTTCTTTGTCTGGGTGCACTTAGAATAATTGGGTATGTGGAAAATTGCAAAGTAATGGTTGAGCAATTGTGAACATGTGAACCTTATAGTGGTTCCAAAGGCAGCTTGATATACTTTTATTTATACAAAACACAGTTAGATTCCCTGACAGATTTACTGTACCCCTGGCTGGTCTTTACAGGCAATGCCCAAAAATAACAGCTTTGACAGCATTGTCCTGTTCTTTGACAACATGCCATAAATGGACTTCACACACCATCCCTTGAGGAGAAAGACATTGGCTGGGTCTGCAACTGCTTTTAGGCTCTCAGCATATCTAATGAACACCCACCATGTGTCTCATTTTCAAATGCCTATTGACCTTTTACCAGGCAATTGGCTAAAATGCAAAGTTTTGGCATTTAAACTGTGGGGAGGAGTCACATCTGGCCAAAGTGGAAGATCACACATCACTTGCAGCACTACAATGTGCAAAATATGCACATCATGCAACATTTTGGTTGAAATACCATTTTTTTAATTTTACAGTAATCACTGAACACAGTCTTTCTTATATAGTTTTGAGACAAACCTTAAAAAGAAAAATCCCAGTGTGGATCTACCACCGAAAAGAGCGTCAACACCCAGCTTATTACTTCTACATACTGTTGAGTTTTCTGTGTGGTGTGTTTACTCTACCTGGGTTTGATTTAATGATTTTGAAATGTGCAGTTATGACTTTTGGGACAAAGGATGAAGTTCAAATAAACATGCTGAACTTGAGTCCACAGTGCTCAACCACCTCACTATTTGAAATGTTTTGTGTGTTCAGTCAATACAGAACTGAAGGGAAATGCACATCTGTTCCCGTGAGGTAATGGCTCACAGGTAGACATCAAAGGACAAAGGAGAGAGCTGCAAACCCTTGTGCAATAATTGTATGTTTAACTCTTCTGCACATATTTTTTATCATAAGAAAACACATCTTCGGAGTGACATACAGTTATATGTAGACATATGTAGTGTTCAGGAGAAGCTTCAAATTAATGAATTCACAGGGCAATCAGCTTGACCATAGAAAGGTTATTCAGGCTTGCAGCATCAGTATGTCCGTGTCTTAGAGTCAGAAAATGTAATACAGAACTTTTTCATAGCTTATGGAAAGCTGACATTTTGGACATATATGGTTTTCACAGATCACCCAGATGATTTGTAGTTTTGTAGAGAAGGAAAAATGTTGATTCATAGAATTCGGATAATAACAAGATTGCTAAGCTAAAAGTGCATCTCTGTCCTCTTTGCTCCACTGTGTTTTATCAAACCATTTGTGACATAAAGTACAAAAAAAAAAGTCTGTGCTCACAAAATTTGTCCAAAGGATCAAAAGATTTTTTTTCATGTATCAGGACAGAGAAAATAATGCAGCACAAATGTTAAAGCTTTCAGACTAAGGCTTCTTCAGTTTGCTCTCAAACTAAAGAAGGCCTCTGGCCACTTTGTCTGATTAATCCTTACTGAAATGTTCACTGGCTAACAGAAATTAGAGATATTAGCCAATGTAGTTGAAACACAATACACTGTCTAGCCCTGGTTAAGTGAGAATAACCAAGTATGAAGTGTAGTCTGACTGACTAATTGACCTGAATTTAGGTCCTGACATATGGATAAATTTGGGGTCGATAAGAATGTATTTTTGAGAAAGCTGTCTAAATCCCCTTTTTTTTAGAAGGTGTAATTGCAGAATCACATACAGTGTGTATCATTTTCTCTTTGTGTGATTCAGTTGATATGTCACAATGGTGTGTGTGATCTCCCACCCACTGGAGCAATTTCTGATGAACTGAGATAAACAATGTCAAGAAGTATTTTGTCAGCCTTTTCGCTAATTTTTCTTTCAGTTTGTGTGAGTCTAAAATTGTTCTTTTAGAAACCTTTTCACCATGTTGCTTTATCTTTTCCTTATTCAGCCCATTTGTCTTTTCTGCCTGTTTCCATTTTTTCACTGCCAGTATGATTTTGCTCAGTCTGCAGACAGGTGATCCATATATGGACATTAAACGTACTTTCTGATTATCTTTGACCAGCTGTTAAGTGTTGATAAAAATCCTTTATGTATAATGCTGCTGCACCCTCTCCATCTTTTAGAAATGAATAAACTCATAAAACCTTAATCTAGACTAGCTATTTTAATTGCTTATGAATTAAATAAGGGGATCATATTAGTATGCAGCACCATGTGAGTTACAACAAGGATGCAGTAATAGAAAACCCACTCCATTTCTTTCTTCTAATTAAACTTTTAATCATGCCTTTTTCTTTCCCACTTGTTTTTCTCC